TCTTTCCCTCCTTCTTTCCCTCTTTCCTTCTCTCTTTTTATCCCCTCTTTCCTTCCTTCTTTTCTTCTTTCCTTCTCTTTCTTTCCCTCTTTCCTTCCTTCTCTCCTCTCTACTCTCTTTCCTTCCCTCTTTCCTCCTTCTGTGGCCCAACTCTAGTGAGAAGGGGTTTAAATTTCAAACCCCTTCCCCCCCCCCGCAGGCCAGCTGGGGAAGGGGAGGGGAGGCTTTTGAAGATGCCTCCCCCCCTTTTGCTTCCCCTTCTGACATCACTTCCGGTGATGTCAGGGGTCATGGCATATGCTAATAACCTAGTAGCTTATTAGCATACCGTATGCTAATGAGCTCCTGCAGCTCTTTTTCTAGGAAAAGACCCCTGGCCGGTATCAACCCCCTTGTCATTTCCACCCATTCAATCTCGTCTTGCAATCCGGAGCGAGAGAGAATAGATCTGCTCCATCTTCTACATGACAGCCCTTCGAATACTTGAAGACTGCAATCATGTCACCTCAAACAGACCCAACTCTTTCAGCCCTTCCTCGTAAGACTTGGATTCCAACCCTCTCACCATCCTGGTTGCCCTCTTCTGGACACGCTCGAGCTGATCAACGTCCTTCCTACAATGTGGTGCCCAAAACTGGACACAGGACTCCAGGTGAGGCCTGACCATAGCAGAATGGAGCGGAACTACCACCTCCCGTGAAAACAATAATATCCGGTTGTTTTTAAAAGAGGTAGCCCAATAACTTTGTAAGAAAAAAAGAAATACTGATGATGAGCACGGGCGTCAGCAGCTAGATTCCCCTCCAAAATAAAAAGTCTTACCTTGAAATTTGAATTTCCATCCTATCTTTGTACAAAACCTAAATGAAGATGGTCATATATGCTTGCGTAGGGGCTGTGGTGGCTCAGAGGTTAAGACGCTGAACTGCAGACTGGAAGGTCGGTAGTTCGGCAGTTCGAGACCCGAGTGCTGCATGATGGAGTGAGCTCCCGTCTCTGGCCCCAGCTCCTGCCAACCTAGCAGTTCGAAAGCACGAAAGTGCAAGTAGATAAATAGGTACCGCTTCAGTGGGAAGATAACGGCGTTCTGTGTGCCTCGGTGTCTAGTCATGCCGGCCACATGACTATGGAGATGTCTTCAGACAGCGCTGGCTCTTCAGCTTGGAAATGGAGATGAGCACCGCATCCCTAGAGTTGGATTTGACTGGCTTTTGAGCAAGGGAAACCTTTACCTTTACCTGTATGCTTGCATGTTGTAATGCACTACCCACAGCATAGATGAAGTGTCATTTTCCTGGGATTCCTTCAGAACAATGCTTTCAACGTTTGATTCGTTATTGTGGGTTTGCTTTTTCTGTTCCAAACACACTGTCGGCAGGTTAAGAATTTCTTGAGAAATGGTTGCTAAAATACTCAGACACTTCTTCTTCTTCTTTTCATTAACTGCCCCAAGGGGCAGAATTTTATTAGGTTTTTTCCATCCAAATACAATACAAACTTGACAAACAAACATTAACACATACATACAAAACGTACATGGGGGTAATAAATCTTCATAGTTATTATAATTCTTGTGCCTAATTACTAACATTATTTTCTGCACTTATTTACTGTAAATATCATTAAATTTCTACCTTGTTGGGTTAAATAAGCCTTGTACTTTGTGTTTTAGTTATTTATGCCTACATATAATTATTATACCAGCCTTAAAATCGTAACCAAGTGTTCTGGAATGTAGAGTCCGGAAGACCCTTCATCAATAAAGTCAATTTGTCCATTTCAGCTGTCTCCCAAGACTTTATTTATAAATTCTTGTTTCGTAGGTGTCTCCGATGTCTTCCGGTATTTAGCATGTAAGATTCTGGCTGCAGTAGTTATATATACAATAAGATAGCAATCATCTTTACTAAAATCTTTTGGTAAAATCTTTAGTAATAACACTTCAGGTATAAATGGAATAGCTATACCTAACACCTTTTGCAATAATTCATGAATCCATGCCCAGTATTTTTAACTCATTTCACAGTGCCACCACATATGGTAAAACGAACCCACCTTCTTTTCCCATTTCCAAAACATATCTGGACATTTGTTATCATATTTCGCTAACCTGTCTAGTGTTACTTCTGATGCCCATGAATTAAGATTGTTTCAGAGTGGCTTTTTGTAAAGCATGTACGGTTGATGTGTCTAGATTTTTCTTTGCTGTTGTCTTTAATTCTTAAATGTTTTCTTGGGGTCTGCTTTATGGGCTGTTAAACCAGAATAAAGTGGAAGTCTTGCATTGCCTCCAGAAAGAGGCAAGAGAGAAGCAATTCCACACCACCTTGGCAAGAGCAAAGAGCAATAGCTGTAGAGGCCCTGCTTCTTGGCATTTTGTATTTATTTGGCAATGAGGAGGGTTCCACTTCAGTTATTGCCACCATGCTCACCGAAGGAATATCCCCCTCTTAGAAAACATCTCTCCCAGTCCCTCCCCCACGTATGAGCCCAAACTCAATTTCCATTCTTGAGTCCCTTCCACATATACAGTTTTATAACGTTGCTTCCTTTGGGAAGCCGGCCAGAACCAGAGGCTGCTGATCTTCCAAAGAGAGCTTTTACAAAAAAACGGGTGAGGATATTTGGTTGTTAAATGTCCTGCTTTTAATCTTATGGGCCTGAGGTTTTATCATTTGTGACTTTAGTTCTGAGAGAGAAGTGGGAACAAACTGTAGATGGTAAAAAAAGTTTTAAGTTGTTTATTTTTATTTACTACGTTTTGCCCTGCTCCTTCTCTGAAGACCTCATAGTTCTTTGCAGTCTATGCTCTGTTGTCGAGTCTCCAGAGGAACTGGTTGGCCACTGGGTGAGACAGGATGCTGGGCTAGATGGACCCTCACTGGTCTGACCCAGCAGGGCTCTTCTGATGTTCTTGTGAAGGCCTCGGCCTCTCTGCCCTGTTGTTGGCCCTCCAGAGGGACTGGCTGGCCCCTGTGTGGGACAGGATGCTGGACTAGATGGACCCTCACTGGTCTGATCCAGCAGGGCTCTTCTGATGTTCTCATGAAGGCCTGGGCCTCTCTGCCCTGTTTGCTGGACCTCCAGAGGAACTGGCTGACCACAGTGTGAGGCAGGATGCTGGACTAGATGGACCCATACTGGTCTGATCCAGCAGGGCTGTTCTGATGTTCTCAGGAAGGCCTGGGCCTCTCTGCCCTGTTATTGGCCCTCCAGGGGTACTGGTATGAGACAGGATGCTGGACTAGATGGATCAGGGCTCTTCTGATGTTCTTATGCACGTGGTTCCTTCGCTGTCGTAGTTTGTCAGCCACAACATATAGTAAATGTTCCTGCATCGTTTTCCAGTGACGTAGATAAACATATGGAGCAGAGGTCCATCAGTGACTATTAGCCACAAAGTATAGATAGGGGCTCTGGGGCAAGTGATGCTCTGTCTTCTTGGTGTTTGGGGGGGGGTCAACAGTGGGAGGGCTTCTAATCTCCTGGCCCCACTGGTGGACCTCCTGAGGGCACCTAGTATTTCTGGCCACTGTGTGACACAGAGTGTTGGACTGGATGGGCCTTTGGCCTGATCCAACATTGGCGTCTCTTATGTTCTTATGTTCCCATTTTCCTTCAGATATGTATAAAAGGAAAAGTCCACATATTTAAATACCTGAATATGGAGGCGTGCAAAGTAGCTCCAGATCTTCCAGATTACGAAAGGCGGCCGATGGGTTTTGGCTCCTGGTAAGTGTACACAGATTTTGAATTCTCTGTTGCTGTTGTTGTTGTTGTTTTAAAGAAGTGTGTAGAGACATTTTATTTATCTCTTTGCTTCCTGTCTTAAGCCCTTAAGTAGCTGTAAACCATTACCAGGCGATGTTGCTCTGTGCCAGACCGTAGAGCTTTCCTGGTCTACCCAGCGGTGAAAACGCTGCTCTCCTTTTGCCTCCATCAAACTGTGTTGATCTTGGCAGGCTCCTCTCCTGCTGTAGCCCAGTCACATACATTTCTGAGCAGTCAGCCGCAGCAGTGAGTTACTAAATTAAGACGCCGGGTGCTAGAAGCACAGCATGTGTTTATAGTACATGGTGCTGAGTGATGCAAGGTAACGAGGCAAAGCGCTAATTTCCTAGAGAATGCGTTGCGGTGTGCAGGGCAGTGCTGAATCACGGGCCCTTTGGGGGGGGGCACTAAAGTACAGGTTGGAGATACATCCGTTCAACCAGCATGCACGTGTTAGAGGAAACAAAGCTCCCTCTAAGGCTTGGAGTCTTCTGGGCAAAAATCCTACTTGGTGAGCTCCTGGTATTAAAGTTGTGAGCGAGCGATTTGGCTTCTGCGTAAATTAGTTTGCTCTGGAGCCCTCCTGCCTGAGTTAAGGGGAAAATGTGTGAGCCAGAGGCGAAAAAACTGTGAGCTAGCTCACACTAACTCAGCTTAGAGGGAACACTGGGACCAACGCTCCCTCTAAGCCCTGGAGTCTTGTGAGCAAAAATTCTACTTTTTGAGCCACGGGCATTAAAGTGGTGAGCGAGCGATTTGGCTGCTGCATAACTTAGTTTGCTCTGGAGCCATCCTTCCTGAGCGAAGACAGAAATGTGTGAGCCAGAGGCTACAAAACTGTGAGCTAGCTCACACTGACTCATCTTAAAGGGAACACTGGTGGTCTCTATGGCACTGTACCTTAAAAAGGTTCCTCCTTTCCCCAAATCTGCCCTCCCCAGTCTCCCTCTTGTCGGGACAGCCCCTGTCAACCCCGGTGTCGGTTGTCAGCAATGCTCCCTCTAAGCTGTGGAGTTTTGTGAGCAAAAATTCTGCTTTGTGACCTGCTGGCATTCAAGTTGTGAGCGAGCGATTTGGCTCCTGCGTAAATTAGCTTGCTCCGGAGCCCTCCTTCCTGTGCGGAGATGAAAAAGTTTGAGCCGGAGGCTAAAAAACTGTGAGCTAGCTCACCCTCTCTCAGCTTAGAGGGAGCACTGAGGGAAAACG